TATATAGAGATGGTGGACCGACTGGACAACATGAGTCAAATTCTGGATGTCGTTTTGCTTTGACTGTTGATTGACCGCATTGGGACCGCAGTGTTCGTCGTGGTACTACGGTACCAAGATGCCCACTCCCTTGCTCCCTTGGCTCTTTATTCTCTTCTGCCCTGCGAGCCAAAGCATGTTTTCTAAAAAGGATTTGACACAAAGTCTCCTTTCGATTTAATCAAAGAGAATGCTGGAAGTCTTACCCCTTGATGGCGCCAAATGGCGTACAGGCCTTGGGCCACTACGTAAGCTGCGTGAAATTGAAATCACCCTCGCCTCAGGTCATCGATACCGTCAAGCAACACCTGATCTTTCAGAGCACTTTAGATAGCTTTGTCGTACCTACGAGAAGAGAACAGATTCGTTTCAAAATGAAGATCTGACGCTGTGGTGCCTTTGATATCTCGAAGAGCTGATATCCTCCAGCTCGGCGCACTTCAGTCAGTCAGGGAAACGCTCGTACCACTGGTAAATACATGGCGCTGATAGCATGGATACTCATGTGTAATCCATGCGACTTAACTTGTTTCCTTTTACTTAAGAACTGAACTCATAGATCGAGTAAGCCCTCATTCGCTCAATATCAATGTCTCCTTCTTCAGAGTGTGATCTTGCGATCCTCGCGAATATTTGTCTCGAATGTCACCGCTGCCACGGCCCCACCGACCCCACTGGCTCCGGCGATCAAACGGCCCCTCATCAATATCCCTGCCCGCCCGCCGTTTCAGGAGTCTCGGCCGCACCCTCCGATCTTGCACCAATCAGACGGCCACCCATCCCCCGTCAGGAGGCACCCGCCACGAGAGCCACGGCGAGTCAAAAACCCAATTCAACACCTTACATGGGGTAGCTACCTCCCCTGATCCGGAGCTTGCCGTCCTCTTTTTCGCGCCAATCTTTCATCCTTCTCTTCGGATCTTGCCTCCTTTTAAGCTTCTTTTCCACCCCCACCACCACTCACTTGACAGGTGCCGATCGCATAGGTAGCGTAGGGCACATTTTGTTCTCACCAAAGCTCCTCACCATGTCTCTAAAGACTCTCTTGCCGTTGCTCGCACTTACCGGCGCGGGCCTGGGTTGGCAGCACAAGACCGACACCGAAGTCCGCGATGCCCTCAAGGCGAACGAGCACAGCCTAGTAGCGTGTAAGTTGTACCAGTCTCACGAGACCTCTCTCCGACAGCATGCTGACGCCATGTACAGTTATTGAGGTAAGCCGAGCCTCTGGTCCTTGAGCTGATGCCCTTGCGAATACTCTCACGAGTTCGATGCTGCCGCCACATATTAGCAACGCGCTGACCTTAACAAAGCCCTCAACGTACGACATTCTGCACCTCTACAGCAACATTCGTTAACACGGACAACAGCGACGCCAGCACAGCCCTCGAAAAGCACTGGTCCGCCGTCGAAGATGCCGTCCCGGCCGCTCTTTCAGTAGACTGCTCGACTTCAGCCTCGCTCTGCTCCGAACACGACGTCGCTTCCTACCCCGCCATCCGTCTCTACCGCCAAGGCGGCATGAAGCACCACTACCGCGGCCCCAGAAAGGCCTCTGAGTATGTTCATCATCATCGCCCCCCCCCCCCCCCCCCCCCCCCCCCCCCACCCCACCCCCCCCCCCCCCCCCCCCCCCCCCCCTCCCCCCCCCTCCCCCCCCCCCCCCCCCCCCCCCCACTCCCCCCCCCCCCCCCCCCCTGATCACCTCACAAAGGAGCTTCAGCTAAGCCGCCCGCGTCTCTCTTTTTTGCAGAATCACCGCCTTCGTCCGCCGCATGCTCCGCCCCGCCGTGGTCCCTCTCGACAGCAAGGCCGCGAAATCCTTCAACAAGGACGACGACGTGGTGTTGATCGCGCACATGGCCGAGTCCGAGACCAGCCTGCGCGAGCGCTTCACCGAGATGGCCGGGCGCTACCGCGATCGCTACGTCTTTGGGCTGACGACGATTGACGAGGCGCCCGGGCGGATCGCGTGCTATAACAACGCCGACGGCGCATTCCACATGACGTCCGAGCTGGACGAGGTCGACTCGATGGAGAAGATGCTGAAAAAGTGCGCGTCGCAGCTCGTGCCGCGGTTGACGAGGAGAAATGAGGCCGAGTATTTAAGCGTCAGTTGGCAACCCTTTTGCAGTCTTACAGATGTTTTTCATGTAACGTCCAAGAGGCAAACTACTAACGTATGAGATGTCCACAGTCCGGCAAGTCGTTGACCTACTTCTTCTCGACGGTCGAAGAGAACCTAGACTCTTGGACATCGGCTGTGAAACCCATGGCAAAGCAGTACCACGAGTACATCACCTTCGTGACGGTCGACCTCGGCGAGTACCCCGATATGCCGTCGCTCTTTGGTCTGCCGCCGGATGCCACCGAGGGCGTGGCGGTCTATAACCCGGCTGTGGGCTTGGCGTTCCCGTTCAACGGTGACAAGATCACGGTAGACGCGGTCGCGCAGCACATCGCCGATATCTCTGAAGGTAACGCCGATGCCTGGCAGGTGGGTGAGCCGACTGCGGATGAGGAGATTGTGGAGCAGATCATGGAGGAGGTCCCAGTGAAGGGGCGAGACGGTTCCAAGGTGGAGACTGAGGAGACCAAGGAGGCAACCAAGGAGACTGGAGAAGAGAAGCGTGAGATCCACGACGAGCTCTAGGCAAGCAATCTTATCGTGGTTGTGCGCTGTTCACACTCAACGGTTGTTTCCGGGGTTCCGATCACTGGTCCGATAGTAGGACAACATCCAAGACATCGCTCGAAACAGGGTCGCTGCCCACTATTGCTGATCCGAAGAGAAATCAAAGATACCAAAGCAAGCCGGCTTGTAGTCTTAATGAAACTGATATCTGCATCCAGAACCTGAGGATTGGCATTCTCGACGTTGGCAGAAAACCAGTTGCCTCAAAATCACAGCAGCAAACTTGGCTGCGTATGGCAAAGGAAAGAAGGCAGCCAGACAAGAGGATCAGCTGGCAGTGAAGGAAGGGGGTGGCAGCAGAGCCCGTCCGTCTTCTGCTTACCCAAGCCCTCTGGGCTAGGCGAATTTCACACCATCTCGAGCGCAATAGACGCCCTTATATAGAAACAGACATCAACGTCGATATGATTGCTTCGCGGAGCCGGGCACCGCTCCGTCGTTACCATTTCTGTTCTCAAGCCACCGAACAATGATCAGATTGTACGTGAAAGCTGCTTCGGCGGCGACGGACTATGCCCCGCCAGCCAGCCTTCGTGATAAGTAACCCCGAACACGCATCGCGCGCACCGCGGAGGAAAAGAACCGGAATGAGGGTGGGACGGACCTGCGTTGCCTGCCAGCGTAATACGTTACACAGGCCGCCAAAAAAGAAAAAAGTCAACAAAATCGCCACCATTTCGGAGCCGGATGAAGCTCCGTTAGGGGTTTGTCTACGTTGAACCAAACGTTCTTAGCACGTTGTTCGTTCTTGTTCCAATCAGCGACTCCAGGACCTCGTACAGTGACCCAAAGACCACTGTTTCTCACTATTCCCGTATCCAAGATTCGAGTTAGTCCAAGACCCTTGGCTTTCTCTATCCCGCGGAGGCGGGCTGCCCCTCCGCTGCCTGCCGCCGCCTCGGCTCTCAACTGAGTCAACTGAGTCAACTCGGCTTCTTCCTTGGGATCAACATCCCCTCTCCCAGACTCCAGAGAGGTTCGGAGCGGGCTCCGTGTTGATTTGAGCCAATCAGTTTGCTGAGCCGCGGAGGCGGACGAGGCCCCGTCTTCAATCCCGAACCGAGACACTAGAGAGAGAGGTGCCACTCCCGCGGTCCGCGGAGGCGGGCATTTCCTCCGTCGCGGCCGTCCCAAATCTCAGACTTCAGGCCTATAAGTTTCGCTGCTCAATCGGGACTATAAATCCACTCTGAATCCTCCAATTTGTATACTCGGGTCACATGACGCGAGTTTTCTCAACTTCACGTCTACATCGCGATGCTAATTTCCAACTCAGCGGGCCATTCGAGCCCAGCTGACTCCTACCTTGCGGATTTTAGAGGAATATCTTCAAAGTAGCAGCAGTAGCAGCGGTTCGTCCTTCTGTAGCTTTTGATAAAGCAAGTGTCAAGAAAAGTCCCCAAACCGAATGCCTAGTCACTGTGCTCCCGCTATACCACGTATTCTTGCGATTCACGGTCTTTTCCATCGTATGTTGCATTCGATTGACCTGAACGACAAGAGGATGCAGATCCACTCAAACCAAGCACATCCTTCACGTAAACAAAATCGCCACAAAGAATCAAGAGACAAGAATTCAATACAATCACCTTCTGCATCGAGTATTCAACCCTGAACTCAACCCGCATTAGACTCAATTCCTTCCTTCTTGGCACCTTCCGGATTGTCAGCTCAGATAAGGCCTTTTCAAGGTATCTATAAAGCCCCGCGATCACCAGATTGCTGTGCCGCAAATCCTTCTACGCCCGAAGACTCCTTCAGCTCGCTTACTCAAGATACGAGAGCTTGAAAACGCTGTAAGTCTTTCGTATAAGACAGAGAGGGGTTTCTGAGAACCGATGATTTCACTCGTTGCCTTACTCAACCCCCTCCCCCGCTTCTTGTCAGCTCCTGGTGCCCCCCGATACTGTCAATTAAGACAGTGATCACTCGAGGTTTAACGAATCCTATCGGTGGATGACTCCATAATAGGAATGTAGATAACATCCTCTCTCTTCATCACCTCGAATCTCCCAGCAAAAATGCCACATACCTTTGAATGCCAAACCTACATAAAGCATCACCAATTCTTTCAGTGAAGCACGTCAATCTCAAAGACAAAGGCACCATACTCCATCCACACAGAAGCCTAAATCCCACTTCTCCAAACACTTCCCCCCCCCCCCCCCCCCCCCCCCCCCCCCCCCCCCCCCCCCCCCCCCCCCCCCCCCCCCCCCCCCCCCCCCCCCCCCCCCCCCCCCCCCCCCCCCCCCCCCCCAAAATCAAAATGCAACTCAAATCTCTCTTCGCCCTCGCCCTCGCCGCCGCCGTCACAGCAGCAGCCGCCACCACCCCAGGCGGAACCGAGACCACCACCCTCGACAAGCGCGCCCCCACAAAGGCAGAGTGCTGCTGCTGCTACGGCGGCCCTTCCGTCGGCTGCGCCGCGGACCTCAACTGCGCGGGCTACACGCCCAGCATCGGCGTCTGCCTCGACACGCGGTGCCCGTTCAAATGAAACGGTGCGATTCGCAATGAGTAGTCTCTCGACTGGAACGGCGGATCTGTGCAGAAGGGGAGAAAAACAATAGGCTTGTGAGGACGGGTTTCCTCCAGAAGGCTTAGCAAGGTGCTGGGTGTGTATGCCGCCTAGATGGCCCATGGGGTGGTCTACTCAATTGTGTCGTTCCGATCCTTCCGGCACACGGAACCCGTTGCGAGGGAAACCCTGGTATTGTTCAGAGTGAGTTCCTCAGCTTTGGAGGAGCAGACTTGGGTGCCTTTGTTTCCAACTTGATAACTGTTCAATGACGTCATCAATAAAAGAACGCATTTCTCAAAATAATCTTTTATATTGGATCATCACCATGGGTTGCGTCGTGCTGTGACATCCAATATTACATGCCTGAGACTAGGCAACCATTTGCCTTGTCATCGGTATTCCGATCCTGGCGTCATCTTGCATGCGGCATCGTTATGTTGTCTGCCCTGCACGTTCGCATCGCCCTGCCCAACTGCAGCGCCGGTTCCCAGCATGGAAGCCAACGACATCGATTTTTCAAAGTCTATTCAATATTTTTCCTACCGCCTGCTCCTGATACGCTTTAAGGAGAATAGAACATTGGCGTCGAGTAGTTGCGTGGCTAACCTAGAGGAAGTCGACTCAGGGTACTTGGCTTGATTGCGATAGTGCGACATCTTGGGGATATCGCTCTCGGCAACCTCAACCTCAGCCTCTCCAAAGAAGTCGCCATTCGTGCATTACCCAAATGATACATGTAGCGCTGTGTTTATCACTGTGTGCTCTGCGCATATCAATCAAACCATTGAGACACAGGCTGGATAGGCATCTTTGTCTGTAGCCTGTAGCCTGTCTTACACGCTGTAGCAACACCTACTCCCAAGACCATCAGGGCTGAGTGCTAATACCAAAAGGTATACAGAAATACCCGTAAGAGCTCAAGACCTGGATCCATCAGTGTTCACAGATGCCAGTATATACTTTCGAGCTTCTCTAGAACGCTGTGGACGAATGCTTCTAACATGCGAATGGCCTCGAGGGGTAGGCCTGGTGGTATCGCAGATAGAAGAAAGACGGAGGCGATAAAGCGTAGGGTGTATGTGAACTAGAAATTGTCCACAGTAGTATGCATAAAAAAGGACGTTTCGCGATTATTTTGTCGTGTATGTCTCCCTCTCTCCCCCAAGTCCATGACCAGGGGGCTCGTGTACAAGCATATCCTAAGGTAGGTATCCCTAACCTAGTGGACGTAAAAAATGGATCTTCCTGTTGCCTCGACCCCGAATTCCGACCCCTCCAATGATATAATCTCTAATGGTATGTTTCCTCTAATTCCCCGTAAATCGCTCGCTAATCGCAAGTTTTCCGAGGTTCAAAAATCGCCGGTCGAAAGTAGGCAGTGTAGACTGTCAAGTCTCTGGTAGGTCTTCAAATCTTGCGGTTGATGATGAGCAAGGTTCAGGATGCTTGCGGCTCGGCAGCAGCAGCTTCGTCTCGGCATCTTTGGCACATGCACCATCCGCCGAGACTTCCCTTTGCCCAAGCCCTTCGTTGATCGACGGGCATTGTTACGTCGCAGTAGTGGTTCAAGACCTCTTCACCAGCCTTGAGCCCTCCTGGAGCGCCGCCCACAACCTTTGTCTTCCGCGCCCAAAGTGTCATCTGTCCTCCCCAATCCCATGTGACGTTCGGATCGCAGTCGTGGTTGGCTAAGCACCAAAGGGGGTGTACTGCAGCGACATCGGGTCGACCATCGCGTGGGTTCTTACGGGCTGATGCCGTTCCGCGGAATTTGCTGTAGAGGGTATTCAGAACCCACAAATCGTGTTCTTGAATAGTGCTATAAATGTCGACGTCCATCTTTTCGAGGATGTGGAAGGGTGTCTCGATATTGTACTTGAACGAGAAGGGCAGCGTCCATTCCGGCGGCGGATTCGCACTCGGTGAGATCTCGATATCGTTCGATGCGGAAGGCACAAAGTCACCCCAGATGTACTTGATCTGTGTCACATCCAAGGGATGTATTTCTTGGTGGTTGGACATGGCCAAGACACGCGCAAGAAGAAGCAGGTGTAATGTCTCATCGGCTTCCGAAGCTTCAGGGTCCTTGGCGATGGCGTCGACATCCTTCTCGCATACAGCAGGGTGGTAAAGTTCTTGCGCCATATCGTGACAGTGTTGGCTACAGAAAACTGTGTCGTAACATTCGTCGCAGCTGACAGCGGCCGGCTCGCTGCCCAACGGTGGCAGTTCCGCACTACACGCATCGCAGACTGGTTCCTTGAGGCGATTATTGGCGGTCAAAAGCGAATATTCTTCCAAGACGGCCTCTCCTGGCGCAATGTCTTGCGTCGCAAAGAGGCCCAGCTGATTGCAAGTGGGTATGATATCGTAGTCATCCATATCGCTGGCTGCCTCTAAAAGGACCGGGAGCTTAGACAATTGTACCGCACACTTGGGTGCAGACTTTGATAGTTCGGCGTTCAGAAATTCGAGGGACTCGGGAGCAAAACGGTCAGGCTCGTATGTGTTCCAGGGGTAGACTTCCCTCCGAACAAGCCCCCATTCCGGAAGAACGTTGATGTTGAAGTCGTCTCTGCGACATCTCCGACTCGCCACATGCTTGATGTATCCCATCGTTTGAAGGAGTTCGTCGTTCTCGGGAGCGATCAGCAGACCTCGGTCGCAAAACTCGTGCGCGCTTTTCAGGCATCCGCACAACAGAAGACTGAGGGCAAGAATCTGAAAGGCGCGAACAGAGGATAGTTTGGCTACATGAGCGACGAGGCTTGCTTGGTCTCTGGCCTCGTCTGTCAGATAGTCGCTTCCGAGCTTCGACAGAATGCCATGGTCCAGGACAATAGGTAGTGGGTCCAGAGGGCGGGATCCAAGAGCCTCGATAGCTTGCTCGTGATACTCAGAGCCCTCGTGGAGGACGTCGTCGGTCAAAAGAAGAGCTTTATAGGCATCGCCAGCGGCCAAGTCGGGGTAGCCCAATTCAGAGTGGACAACGGCACGTTCGAGGTAAGTGATCAAGTCGTATGGGTTATCGACCAAAGTCTCTGTGAGACGTCGGCGATGCTCGAGTAGACCTTCTGAGCGTCGAGTGTTTTCATCCTCCAAGGGCGACTCATTGCCCGTGGTAGTGGTGCTTGCTGTCGACATGGTGAAGAAAAGGAAGCTAGTAGCAAAGCGCTTGGGCAGCACTGTTCGGGGCTAGCATCCAACAAGGTGCAGGCAGGGCTGCTGATAAAAAGAAGGGAAACAAGGCAAAAGAAGGGAGATGCCGCCCAGGAATCGAGATCGAAATTGGATGCAAGTGACACTGACGTCAGTGAGGAGAATAACGATCCTGGTATTGCTGGGCTCAAGGTCCAAGTCGAGCGGACGTGTTGTGGTACCTTAATGGAACACCGTCTCGGGAACGGAACGGTGAGATGAACCTGAACCCTAGGAGGAAAAAGCCCGGCACACGGCTGCGCGCGGTTGTGTCTCGAGGTCTTTTTTTTTTTTTTTTTTAATTGTTTTATTTTTTTCGACTGAGAGGGGGTTTTTTTTGGGCAAAGAGAACGGGGCAAGCCCACAACTGGTCAGACCACTTTATGGCAACCCTGCCCGGGCTGTATCCGTTGGAAGTCGTTGAATTACAGCGTAAAGAAAGAGCCCGGGGAAAACGGATTTGAAAAATGGGGGAAACGAGAGTAAGTAGATTTGAAGGGGGGGGAAGGGCCGATGAAGGAAAAGAGGCGAGAATGAGATGGCAGGACTGGAAGGAAGGAAGGCGTCCTTATTCGTCAATCAGACGGAAATGAAGGTGATGCGATGGTGTTGGTCTGGCGGGTGATGGCGCGCCCTGATGCCTCTCTGGTTTTAGTCGTGCTTGATCCTGTGCTGCTCTTCTCTCTGATTCTCCTCGATTGGCGTTTGCTGCCTGTCTTGACAGTTGTAGCCGGAGGTGACTAGCCCGGTTTGTTTAGCTTGGTCCCAGTAAGACGGAGACCCTATTTTTGGTTGATGGCCGGTCCGTCCAAGTATGCCGTTTTTTAAAAGGGGGCAACAAGATGGAAATTAAACACAGACGCAAGTCGTCGTCGACCTTGACCTCGAAAGGGAAGGGGAAGAAATTTGCAACTCATCAATTGGATATTGGCCGCGGATTGGGGTCCGTTGGTGCGTGGTGACAAGTGGGGGGTTCTGGACTGGACCCTTGAAAACTGGAACTTCAGGGTCCTTCGCGTGGAGGGGTAAAACTGCCCTACCTGGTCTTTGTGACTTGCGGACAACCGCTCCCAAGACCGCAAGCGCATTCAACCCGGAACGTCTTGACGTTGAACCGCCAGGCGCAACGGCGTGACTGGCTGAGAGACCATCGCATACCCATGCTGCGTCCTCTAAGGGGGGGAAAGTTAGATGTACGGATAGGTTGCGACCCTTGATTTGCCTTGAAGTCCGTGGTCCATGGTTCCTGGTAAGATGACCCTTCGATGGACGGTTGAGACGGGGCAGTGGCAGTGAAAACATGGTTTCGTACCACTTGGCTTTGCGACTCAGCAACAAGGGGACTCGACCCTGTCAGCCTCACGTACCACGCGCTTGCCCGAGCTCTTCTCCCGTGGATACTGGGGATTGCGACTTGTCGCGAATTGGCTTGAGACCTGGGAACCCTCTTCAAGGAACCGCATGTCTAGTGACGTCAGTGTCTAGTCTCCCCGTTGCTTTCATCCCGTCATTTCCGTTTTGACTTTTTTGCCTTTTATGGGTTCTCGTTTCTTCCGCATGAACCTTTTTTTCCTCGTAACAATTCACATGCCGGCGCAATCCTATGCAGTACGGTATTCGTGCCTTGTTCGTACTGATACATTCGACAAGAAATAGACGCGGCCGATGGAGCATTTGACGCCCGTTGGGCCGATCAGATACCTTTTCTGTCCAGTTGCCTGCCTTTCTGTACGAAGTCTGGAAAGGGGCCTCCATTTTTTTACCGCAGTGCCGGAGTT